CCCCCTTTTTAACTCGAAAACGCGTGAATCCTAGGGTCGAATCGGGTCACGCGCGGGTCGCCTAGTGGGTTAGGTATATAACCCAAACTCTTAAACACATTTTCATAATTTTCCCCCTCAAAAGATCAAACCAAAGAAAACAAAATCCTCTCAACTATTCTTCATGCACAAAGAACAGCCACCCCTTAAACCCATATTTCGATGGCCACCATCTCACCGATCGTCGTAGATCGACATCGGCCGCCGCTCATCAGCGGTGGCCCAAATTGTTTTTTTTTTTTTTTTGCATTTTTCGAAAGCCATTCACCTCCCCATCTTAAAAATTCACTTTGTTTTCAAAAATCGGCCTCGGGGGAGGCTAGATCTGGGATTGAAGATCTTGAAAAGCTCTCCCCATGTTCATTGGCCGGCCAGTTTTCCGGGTCAAAAAATGAAAGTGAGATAACGCATGCAAAGCCAAATAAGGTAAAAAATACCTTTTATTTCTCTTTTTCCTTTCGAAAATTACAATGATTTCCTCGCTTTTTCTTTCGTATTTCCTCTATGCTTTTTTGTCTTGATTTTTTTGTGTCCCTTACATGCTTATTTATATTCTAAAAATATATTTTTAGTTTGGGTTTCTAGAGTTTTTCTTGGACTAAAACTCTTGTATAGTTTCTATTGTTCCATGAAATCACGCGACCAAAAAAATCGGGGATGGTTGACCGTGGAAATTGGTCGGTTGGTGTGTGAGGCGCGAGGAACCTTCGAAGGAGGATGCGACGCTGGCTAGGGTTCAAAAACCCTAGATACTTTGGGTTAAACCTTGGGACCGGTCGGGTCTAGACCGGGTCAGGTATGGACCGATTTGCAGGTTACTGGTTCGGGCTGGGTCTTTTGTTTTGTATTTGGGCGGCAGCTTTGTAATGATTTTGGGCCAAATGTTTAGGCCTGACATAAAACCAAATATCATTAATAAATAACATAATATATATATATAATACTATACATTATATACGTATATAAATACAACGTATTTAATATATGCACATTATAATATAAGTGTATCATATACTATAAATACGTCACATAATATTATGAAATATCGGACGAAAATGTGTGGCTACAGATACCTAAAGGGGTACCGATATTACTTTACATAATAGTATCGATACCATGGTCACAATAACGATACCTTCAGGACCAATAGCTAGTAATAGCTAGTTTTATTTAAAAAAAATAACAAAGGAAGTATCGATACCAATAAAAGGAGTACCGATACTCCCTGTACTGGGAAGTTTTCTTTTGCACGAAATTTCATCCCCAACGGCTAGAAACGACCACACACACATTTCAATATATAAATACAAGATCAAGACACTTGAAGAAGGGTTAGAACACCTATCCAAGCAATCAAACACAAGAGAAAATCTTTTTCACTCTTTATTTTATTTCTTTTGTAAATAGTGTGTTTTTGTGAGCTTTAATATGTAAACACCTATCTTTTAGAGGTTTCGTTGTTTACTTTCTTTTGCCTTTTGTTAAGGGGTTTTGGTTATAGCTAAGCATTTGAAAAGCTAGGGAGTTTGTAAATGTTATCTCTTTGCCCTTGAAAAAGAAAGAACAAATTAGTGGATTTGTTGGAAAATCCTAAGTGATGAGCTTAAGTAGTGGATGTAGACTTTGGTTGAGAAAGTCGAACCACTATAAATCCTTGTGTAACAATTTTCTATCCCCTTAATTCTCCTTACTCCCTAAAATTATCAAAAAGTTAATTCACCACCTATTGGCACATTTTCGGTTGTTAAAAGTGAGCTTCATAAATCCTAACAGATATACAATTAAACTCAAAACAAAAATATTTACAAGAGAAAGAAAAATAAGAATAAAAGCTCTTCTCTTGTGTTTGATTGCTTGGATAGGTGTTCTAACCTTCTTCAAGTGTCCTCAACTTTTTTTTATAAGTTGCAATGAGTTTGTGGTCGTTTCTAGCCGTTGGGGATGTTTTGGAGCCGTTGAGGATTAATTTTCTGCAAAATAAAATTGCTCAGGACATGGAGTATCAATACTCCTTTAATGAGTATGGTACTACCTTTTTAATATTTAAATAAACTAGCTGTTAAAGACCGTTGGGCTTGACTAGTATCGATACTATGCTTCATGGTATCGATACTACTGTGTAAAGTAGTATTGGTACCCTTTTGGGTCTCGATACCTATTTTGCATTTTGGAATTTGAGCAATTTGAAAAGCAACTGGTAGTATTGATACTACCTAGAGTGTATCGATACTTCTCATACCTTTGGTATCGATACCACGTGAACAATATCGATATTGTTCATGCAATATCGATACTGTAAGAACATTATAGGTACTATGTACCTAGAAAAACAATTTTGTACTCAAATTCTAGTTTAACGGACTTTGAATTATTTTTGAAAACTTTGAAAAAATTCAATCAAATCCAAAAACATTTTGTCTTAATTTGTTATATCAAAATATTATAAAACATGGTCAACACATTTTAAGCCATACAACATGATATTCTCATCATATCTAACATAAAAATCAATTCAAAACATCAACCCCTTAACTTTTCATCTTTTCCAAATTGATCCCTAAAGGAAAACTAATGGATTTTTCATCACTTGAAGCATGATATCAATATCACAACACATAAACATGAACAACATAAACAAATGGTACCAAATGAAAGAGAATTCAATTGGGAAAATTGGATTTCATGTCTTAACCTTAAATCCAACTTAAAATGCTTAAGAAATAAAAAAAATTACCTATGATTTTCTTTGTAACTCACGACAACATCAAGGTTTTCAAGAACTTTCTTGAATTTTTTAGTCCTTTTTGGATTTTATAACCTAAATGAATTTAAAATTCATTTTAGTCCAAAATGACTATTATGACCTTCAAATATAACGATCCTAATCATGCCACATATCAAATTATCATCCAATGGCTGAAATTAAACCATGAAGTTAGTAGTTTATAACTTTACCCTTGTAAAGTTCAAAAATTACAATTTTATCCTTTTTTATCCAATGACTAAGATTTAACATGGAAGTCAACTTAAGTTCAATTGTCCACATTAAATCTTATCATTTTAAAGCATGGAAAATACATTTTTCCCTTTCTTTATCATCTAGAAAAAATTCTTGAATTTTCGATTCGGTTTGGTTATCCAAATTTTTCTCAAACTTTCACACTTCGTAGCTTTTGACACAAACTCCGTATTAAAAATCTAAGTGACACCAAAACGTAATTATTGTGGGTAACTATTCATTTACGGGTCATAAATAAATACTTTTTAAAATTACTATTTTAGTCCCTAAACTTTCTCAAGTTTATACTTTAGCCAATAAACTTTCGTTTTATTCATTTGGGCCACTAATCATATTTTTGGGGTATTACAAATTTTGCATATTGGAATTTGAACAAATTTAAAATTGAAGGGTAGTATCGGTACTACCAAGAAGTATGTGTACTTCTCTTACTTATAGAATCAGTACTACAAGAATACTATTGGTATTGTTCATGCAGTATCAATATTGTATGAACAATATTTGTACTACTTACCTAAAAATCATTTTGTGCTCAAATTCTTGTTTTATTACTTTGAATTATTTTTAAAATCTTCGAACAAATTTAATTAAGTTCAAAAATATTTTTTTTCTTATTTATTATATCAAAATATATGTTGAACATAAAGTGATTATATGAATATTAGTACGAAAGTCTTTTATTATAACGAAACGCATTATTGATACGGATTCAAATCTCACGGATGGTTTCCAATGCGTTTTTCGATCTTTCTTGCAGTTCAGATTCTCTTATAAAATTCCCCGTCATTAATTTTTATTTAAATCCACCGCAATCGTAGTCGTACCAACGATGGCACCTCAAAATCACATCTTCGCTATTAGATTTCTTGTCCTCCATACCATCCATAGGACCACAACCCTACCACAGGTGCCGTCGTCGCCACCATCCTCGTCGAAACTATTGTTGCTCCTGTTGTTTCTAGACCATCCTCATCATTCTCACGGTTTCAGTTGCCGTAATTGAGACCGTCCTTCATGTGCTTTTTACCACCTTTCTTTCACCCTTGCTTCCTCTGTATCCACCGCTTCAACCTAACAACAACCGTCGACTCCTTTGCCTCCCATTTCCCAACCCTTTCTTCCAAAAACCCAAAACTCTCGTTCTCGTACGACCCTTTTACCATTTCATGCATGATAAACAACGGTGGTGCCGAGAGACAGACAACCTTTCTAAAGGTTTCAATCCAATTCTATTACTATCTAAATGATAAATTATGAAACTTTGTTTTAACTTTTGAACCCAGAAAATTATAAGATCAAATTAAAATAAATAATTATTCAAAAAACTGGACTTTGAAGTAGGAAAAAGAATGAATCCACCATTGACCGAAAAATCAATCCATATAGTTATTTCATATATTGATTATATTATTTTTCTTAAAAATGCAATGATTTTTTAATTTATTCTTAAAATTAAAATAATAGCATCAAAAAATAATGTTATCATAAACTGAACTCAAAACCTTAAGAGAAAATAATATTCTCTTTAACTATTAAGAACATTTAATAAGTTCATCATAAATACTAAAATATTGAATAAAATAATATAAATAAGAATATTTAAAATAAGTAGCCGATACATGAAATGATGGTCAATTGAAGATAAATTTCAGCTCACTAGATGCTGAAAAATAACATAATCATGTTGGCACATGAATTGGACCCCCTCGCCCACCCATGTCTCTCATGATCAGATAATGACAAGTGGCCTTCCCTCAAATTTACACACAATATTCCATCAAACAAAACCCTCGCCACTCATTTTTTTTCTTACAAATGGAACCCATTTTGCAAAATATGTAGTAAATATCAATCTTGGTGACAAAAAACAATTATTCTTGTTGTATAACTGTATATCAGTATATGTATAAATACTTTTTGCTATTAGTATGTAAACAAATTAATGTTACCTAAGTATCCCAAAGAGAATCGAGTTGCATATCTTCCCACTCATTCTCCTCATTCTTAGTGCAATACATCATTGATTCATCCATCATCAATGCCTCCGACATTTGCATCCACGTCTTGGGTGAGTCCATAGGGGACTCATTGATAGCCTGAATTTGGCTCTGCGAAAGCCTCACCCTGACCGGACCGGTGCTGCCACTGGAGCTGCCGGCGTTGGACACTGCTGCATTAGTCCTGGTCCACGAGGCTGCCTCGTGGGCAGCCTTTCGGATATCTTCGGCATTGGAACTGGCTGGCCTGGGAAGACAATGCACCAGCTCCGGGAAGTTAAGACGTGCATCGTCACCCCTGAGCTGTAACGCCGCCGTATCGTAAGCCGAGGCCGCCATTTCCGGTGTCTCGAAGCTCCCTAGCCAGATTCTTGTCTTTTTTCCAGGCTCACGGATTTCAGACACCCATTTACCCCATTTTCTCTTACGAACGCCTCTATAGCTCGATGGTAAGCCGCCCCGAGCACCGCCGCTTTTCTTTCCTTCCATAAAATGCACTGGGTTTATACTCTGATTGTTTCATGAATATGAAAAGAAGTGTAATACAGCTAAGGGTATTTATAGAAGTGATTGGTATACTGTCAACAACAACACTGAAAATCTTGGAGGAAGTAAGCTTCCGAGCAGCTGCAGATTCAGTGAAAAGGATTTTAAAAAAGAAAAACATATGTGCATGTTACGATCAATCCATGTAATCCAAAAGAATTTAAAATTTTCTTTTGTGAACAACACCAATCAAAGGACGACAAGCTTGTAAACTTGTTGTCTCTTCTTTCTTTTGTGCAAGCTTAGATAATTTGGTGAGAAAATCCTAGGACACACAGAGTTTCCTCCTGTTGAAGACGCGGTTTGATAATGTGGTCAATGTGGGAATTAGGGCTTTGGATTGCATTGGACCCACTCATCGATTCAAGTCTCAAGATGAAAATGAAGTACGGTTGAACTTAAATGAATGAATCCACCTTTTCTTCTGCTTGCTTTGATCAGTCTAACGAATGCTCTGATCCGTAGTGGGACTCCTTAGGTAACCGTCTCTTGAAATTATTGTATTTATTACGTGGTCTTTTGTATAATTTTATTTATTAATTTATATTCGTTGATGGTAATAAAATGGATTGTAACGGTAGTAAATAATTCAATTTTTCTTATTTAAACGAATAATTGTAGTTAATAGTATGGGTGGTTAGTAAAAGGTTTGGGAGAGAAAGAAGAACAAGTACCATTTCCTACTCTTGTATGGCATAGGGATTTATATATTGATCCCGAGTACGTGTTAATGTTAAACTTAGGATCATAATTTTTATACGCAGACCGACAAAATAAATAAATGTCAGTCAGTCAGTATACTTGGTCCTAATATATCTCTTAGACTTGCTGATAGTCTTGTCAAGAGTTAGTGGTGGCCGAAGGATACCAAGCTCCAAAGGTTTTGATTTGCAAAATAACACATCAGAAAGTTTCATTAGGTGAGGAGTTGTAATTTGTAGAGGAATAACTCTGAAGGTATAATATTTGTCATTAGTCGAGGGAATGTTATTAAGTAATTCACACAAGACTTTATTCGTATAGGTCCACTACTTAGCATTAGTCTCTTGGTTTTAAGATAATTGTACGAATAACTTTTGAGAAGCCTGAATGATGAACTATCGACGTTTATATATATTATGTGAAGAGCTTTCAACGCTTTTGTTGAATTTGGCTAAACGAATGAAGGCAACTTTGCACTAATTTATATAAATATCATGTGAAGAATTCTTGATGTTTTGATAGGATATCTTATTTATCAGAGTTACTATTAGTGTACATTAATATTTGGTTAACAAAATAAGAAACTATAAAATGTGTAACATGAAATCTATTCCGAGTACTAAAAACTTGATTAAAAGGGTCTTCGAATAGTTATATTTCCTTTTAGTATAATTGTCGATACTTTACCTATTGGTTGATAAATTTGGATTAGATACTACATATGTCTATTAGGAGAAAGACTATTTCAACCTAATTTGTATAATTTTGAAATTGATGGAGACATGAGAAATTTTTTAATTGAAAAAAACTTGGACCAGTTTTTAATGTGCTTAGTTTTAAAACTAAAAGGTACATAAACAAATAATTTAACATTAAACTTGGGGAACTAAGGACTAAATTGTCTACTTTCAAAATTAGGAGAACTTAAAAGGAAAATAAACCAAAAAAAATTGTGTGAGACCAGAGTTAATTTCTCTAGTTTCAATACTATTGACTTAAAAGATGATTAGATCTAAATTAGTTGTTATTGGGGAGTATTGGAATGAGAATAGCTTATAGTTATTCAGCAAAATGGTTGAGATAGTCTTTTTGAGAAAAATAATTCACAAAATAATTCAAAATCATAATTATTTCTCAAGATATGATGAATGTTACAGTAACTAAGTGATGACATCTGGTGTTTCAAGCGATTTTTAGATCCTAGGAGTGCAGCACGTCTTCATCATTTTTTTAAGTTTTACAAAACTAAAGACGCATAGTAATTCATGTCTTTCACTAGAAAAATGAAGTCGCATGGTTATCTTGGGGTCCTTCCGTTGATACTGTAGTAATGACCCTAGTTTAAGAAATAATACGATGGATGTCTTATATGGGAAAATTATTTTTCTTACAACTCTATATGGGTGAGAAAGCCATAGTTATCCAGCGATTTGACTAAACTGTCACCTTTTTTGTCGAAATTCTCCTTTTCTAACATCCTTTGACCAATATTTCCCGAAGTAGCACCCTTTCGGCTGAGGTGGCACAAAGGCGCATCCCCGGGGATGCGCTTTATATGGGATCTGTTGAGTCGGATGCCACGCTGATATTTTTTTTAATAATAAAGATTTTATTTTTATTGATATTATAAATTATTAATATATTATGTAAAGTGTTTCGGTTATAATTTAAGAATTATCGAATGTATTTTTTAAATGTGTGTTAAAGGTGGAGTGAATTTAGGTTTTAGTGCTATATGTTTCAGAGACTTTGGCATTCACGCATTCCACGCGACATTAATCGGATAGAGCAATAGATGAAAACCAACTTTGATCTTATTGTAGTTATGGGAAAAATATATGAAATTATAATATTACACATATGGTTATATATCTATTATTTTTTTATTTTGATTATCGATCTATTAATTTTATATCACTTAATTATTTAAATGTTATCAATCTAGTCATCTGTTATCAATATTTAACGAGAATATTGATACATAAGTTAATAAAATTAGTATAATTACACATTTAATCTTCAATACTTACATATTTTATCAATTTAGTCTTACTTTTAATTTAATTTAATAAATTTAATCCTCCAATCAGAACATGAAATGTGTCATCGTATACATATTTTTTTATAACTTTTAATTTGTTTAATTTAATATTTTTTCTTTACTTAGAAGGTGGAATTATTATAATATTTTAAAATTAATAAATAAATTTTTATAATAAATAATATTAATTATTATATTAAATAAATATCATAAAATAATTTTTAAATAAAAATTTAAAAAAATTATTTAGGTGTACATACATTGAGAAATTATAGAAAATGCAATTACATTTAAATAGTATAAACAAAAACATTCATTTAAATAGAATATTAATTACATAAGGGTTAACAATTATGTGATGATAACAGAGCTGTACATTTTTTTCTATTATGCCCGATGTTTCTACAATGTCCACATCGTTTTTGTTCTGTTGACTTCTCCCGAATATTCATATCACAATGTATTCTAGTAGATTTTGGACGACCTGAGTCCCTCAATAGCAATGGATATGGTATAATTGTAAGCCAAGTTTGAATCTCATCTGGTTCTCTTTCGTTATAAATTCATTATAAATTTAAATTAAAAATAATAATTAATATTAACATTAATTATAAAAAAATATTACCATATCACTAAAATGTATGGAGATATTGTTTGCATCCAATCGCAGCTGCATTTCACTTTCATTATAACTGTAGACAAAAAAATATAATTAGCATAAAAATAATTAATTAATAAATTTAAATAAATAATAATTATATAAATATTATTTTAATAAAAAATAATATTTATATAATTATATTACTATAAAATATAAATACTATTTAAAATATATTAACTTAAAAATAAATTTATTACTACCAATAAGAAATTTAAAACTCAAATAGTTGAAGAATTTAAATTATATAAGAGAGGAGAAGATGATTTTGGTGTAAAGAATAAGGAAGGTTGAGAGGGTTTATATAGGGGAGGAGGAGGGGTAATTGGGGGGAAATGGATGGATATTTATGACGTCCCCGGGGATGCGTCTTACACACGTATCATCCCAGTCAACATAAACTCACGTAAAGTTCGTCTCCGAAAATACGGCTTTTTATCATCTCAGTCGAAAAGATACTACTTCGAGAAATATTGGTCAAAAAGATTAAAAATGAAGAATTTTGATAAAAAATTGTCAATTTAATCAAATCACCATACTTATCCTATACACGTGGCGCGTGATGGGTGTTCAGAGCAGTTAGATTGATAGCAGTTACTGTTTGTTGGCTGGGTGGTTAAACCTAAAACTGCGTGCATACAGCTTGTACAAATATGGTCAAGATTGTACTCTGCCCATCAATGAAGATATCTTTCAGTTTGTAGTTTCTATGATTTATGTTTCTTATATTTCTAATATGGTATCACTGAATGCAATTTAGTTCAAAATCATGTATTTTTAAATGATTTAATTATTATTTTTCTCAAATTTCTTTCAATTTTCTATCTTTCATACAAAAAAAAAACCTATATAAAGAATATATTTTGCATCTTTGTACTTTTATACTCTTTAATTTTTTTATCATTTTAGTTTTCTTTCTTCTCTATCAAGTAAAGTCTAGAAGATATTCTTTTGTTGAGTGACTGATTAAAAACACTCTCGATTAGCTGATCCACATTACTCCATGAGCTTATTCTGCCCAGGGCAGGGGTTAGGACGTTTGAGACTCTCTGCAAATTCTTAAAAATAGTATGATTGTTGGAAAATTGAGATTAACACAACTAATTAATTAAAGGTAAGGAATTTATGACTATGGTGGGAATGTGAATTAACGAGGGAAGATGAATAATTGAAGTTTGGTAAAGTGAATTGAAGAAGATGAACTCTTTTCTCGTAAAGTAGAGTTGGGCAAAAAAAAATGAGATAAACTTTACAACTGTAGCACAATACTAATTATTTGTATTTCCCATATGACTTCAACAAGATTCGACCGCAGGTTCTGTGGTTTTGAGCCCAAATATTTTACCACTGATCCATAATACTTTATTTTTTTATTATAACAATAATAATAAATCTATTTTTTAGAGGCTATTGCTATTCCGAGGTCTTGTACCGTCACGCACATTACATTGTCTTAGCCCCACCCCTGAGTCTGCCCATAGTGCTAAGTTTGTCCAACATAGTGAGCCATGTAATGAGTTGGAACTATTAGGGGAAACCTAA